TTTGTGTCCTCTGCAAAATAAGCCTGTAGCTTTTAGGTAGGTCTGTCCTATGCACACAAATTACATGGCCTTTAAATTACGTGATAGTATAATTAACTAATCAGGTTATTATTTTCTCAAGGTGAACGGTGTTAAAAGAAGCTCTATGCAAGAAAGTGCAAGTTCCAGGTCTTTGTTAAATAAGCAAAGTAGATATTTGCTATTTTTTTTACTAATGCCTAAAACTCTGATACCATGGGGTTGATTTACTAACCTTATAAACACACCACGAACGTGTATACACCTCTGCAGTGTGTTCCCTCCCAGCATGATCTATGGGTGGAATCTAAACACCTTTGTAATGTGTACACACCCAGCAGGTGTGTTGTGCAAAGCCCTGAAGGAATTCCAAGGTGATGTTGGGTAAATTAGCTCTATGTTGTGTTGCTTGCGTTGATGAATGCAAGGAATGTAAATGCATGAGCTAACCATTTTTGTCTAAACTGTGAAGCAGCATTATATATGCATCATGTGCATGATTTTTCCATATATGGCATTAGTGGAAATATGCTTTTAGAGACTTTTTGGTTGATAAATACATTTTGCTGTGTGAAAATCACACACACCTGGTGTGTGTGTGTGTTTAGGTTAGTAAATCACCCCCCATATCTCAGCTCTCATGTTGTCTATCATTACAAAAAATTTGCATATGATAGGCTAAACTCTGTGGCAATTGTGGATCTGACCTATGAAAACAGTAGAATACTGACCACAAATTTCCAGGCTGGGTAATCCTAAATCAAATACCCGATTACCTCAAGTGTGCAGGTGAATATACCAAATCATTAGTGTATAACTTCTAGATAATGTTGAGATAAATGACCCAGAATAGGATCTGATAGATAATAATAGATCTTAGCTATTGCTATCTGCAGATTATGCGACAGAGATTCAGTTAGGTTGTTCCAACATATGACATGAATTTTATGGGTAAACATCTAAAACATGCATATTCTTAGAAAAATTCGGTTTGCAAACTGATTGGTGATGTCATTACCTCATTACAATTATTAAAGTGCATCTGCAATTGAGATGAGTGAATCAAATTGTAAATCAGGCCATTCACTCTCAGCAGAATTGTGAATCTCCTGAATATGCGAGATTTCAATACAGAAATCATGACCCTCTGCATCTTGGATTCATTAACTGCAAGACTGTAGAACAGGTAGCTGGTCCTGATATACTTAGGAAAAACTAAGGCGTGCATTATATCTGATTTTGTCAGAAAGCCAGGACCAGAGGGCGAGTTTCGCCGTTCGCGCATGCGCAGGCGCCTGTTGTGGACCATAGGGCCATAATAGGTGCGGCATTGTTGCGTGGACGTGCGCGCGTTTGTGCGCGACGTGCGCGGGTTCGTGCGCACGTGCGTACGGGCACGCGCCGACGTGTTAAGTGAACAATTGGCGCCAACTGGGCTATAAAGGCTGGGTACTGATATCCTCCATTGCTGTCTGCTCGTCAGCTTTCTGTGGTTCGTTCCTGATTCCTGTTTTTGACCCGGCTTGGACATTCTCTATTTGTGCTCTCTCCTAGTTGACCTCGGCTTGTTCCTGACCCTGATTTTGCCTACTCCTTTGTACTGCGTTGCCTGCTCATTGATGACCTCGGTTTGCTTGACCATCCCTCTGCTTTGTGATTCTGTTTCCAGGTCCTGTCAGCTCATTGGTTCCAAAGCCTGCTCAATCCTCCTTGAAGCATCTCATCCTGCTTCCTACCTGGATCCACACATTGCAGCTCACAGCGGAAACAGGCTAACCAGCCTCTGGCACCCTTGCCCCTCTGCGCCCTGGTGCCCCTGTAACCAATCCAGGTGCTCCAGGACCGGAGCAGTGAGAGAGGCCGCCTTCATCAACTCAGACTCCCCGAAGGTACGTGACAGATTTGCCCAATGCAAAAAGGTACAGTATAGCCACGTTGTTACTACCTTAAACTACACTCCTGATACCTCCACTGACTACAGCTTGCATGGAAACTCTGACAAGGAACTTTTTGAATTATAATGTCATTTTAACAGAAAGAGCAACATATTTTTTTTCAGTGATCAAATGATCAGAAGAGGAGGGACTCTAGGAATGCATTTTCTTTAAGTATCTTAACTCTTCTATTGCTCCTTATTTTGTAGTTAATATACACTATGCAGCCAAAGGTTTGTGGACACCTGACCATCACACCTATAAGGGATGTTCAGATACCAGTGCAGATACTTGGCATTTTCACGAGAACTACCAGGGTTGCAGTGGCTTTAACTTGGACCTGGCTCTGGCGCTCCACAACCTTCCTGAAATCAAAACTTGGTTTGAGGCAATTGGTGTGGAGAAACTCGAGAGGTTCCAACACAGCCTTGACGCCAGTCCTGTTGAACACTCTTGGCATGAAATGGAACGCCGACTGCTAGCCAAGTCTTGTCCAACATCAGTACCTGACCTCACAAATACAGTTAAGAAGCTTGTGAAAGGGGCTGCAACTCCATATTAACGTCCCAAATTTTGGAATTGAATGTCTAACAACCTAATATAGGTGTGATGGTCAGTATAGATGTATGTCAATAGTCCAGTGTAGGTATCTTGTAACTGATTAAAAAAAAATCCTATGTATGTCACAAGATGTGCACTAGAATTTAGAATTCAAGAGGAAGTTAAGCCAGTCAAGGATCCAGCTTAACTGTAAGGAAATGTTTTACTGACAACAGAAATCTACGTGTCAACTGGTTTTTTTTCTGTAGGCTATCTGGCTTTTTCTTTTGTTAGAAGTGATACCTTTTAATGGCTAGCATGCTTGTTAAGCAAGTTAAAAAAAATGAGAATGTGACTGAAAAAAGTCTAATTTCTCCAAGACGTTTATACTAAAATTGTATTTAAAGTTATATCTTTGGTAATATTATTCCTGAATAAATTCCTGTATTTATAACCAAGTAAAATGCAGCTGATTATATTTTCGGAATTTGTTATAAAATTTAAAATCCATGAAAGAATATATAAAGTACTAAACATGAAAAAATGTAATGAACATAGCCATCCGACAGCTTGTTGTATTTTGCTTAAAAATGTGCGCACCTTTGTTCATCCATTTATCTCTAGGTGTTTCTATAAAGTGACACCCAATATTAGGGAGTTGTTAGTGTACATCAAGTAACAAGGTTGACAATGTTCAAGTATCACAGCTCATGCATATGAGCATTAATGCTCCAAGCCCCGTCTGTGTGGCTAAACATACTAGCATCCAAGCAAAGAGTGAACATATACTGGCAAGGAAAACAGGTCTCTGTGGTAAGCACATATATATTAATGTTCATTGATACTTTGCTGACGAAATGCACACTCCTTGAAGTGTATTAGAAATGCCAAGACACACACACGCATTCATGTGATACTGTGATACTGATGGGTGTTGGAAACCAGACTCTGACTATAAAGGTTGGTTCATCTGTTCAAATAAACTACATTACTAAATTGTATTCTATAGAGTAAAACCTCGGTTCATAAACGCTTCTGTTCGCGAACAGACAGTTCAACAAAATTTAGCTTCTGTTCACAAACTCCAAATTGGGTGACAAACACGACTGTGGCCATCTTCCCCGCTCTGACACTAGGTCATGGCTACCTCTTGTCGAGATCGCGGTCGCAGACAGACCTGTGCACACTTGCTGTGAAGCTTTTTTGTGTGCTTTTTAGCAGTACTGTACAGTATTATTCAACCCAGCATGGCTCCAAAGAAAGTGCAAAGGTTAGTGTTCACTCTCTTCATACTGTGCTGTACTTTGTTTTATATTTGTGTGGTAAATTATTTTTTTTACATATGGTTCAGAACGGATTAACCTCATTCACATTGAACCTTATGGGAAAATTTGTTTCTGTTCGTGACCAAAAACGGTTCACAACCACGTTCGTAGGGGTCAGAACGGATTAACCTTATTTACATTGAACCTTATGGGGAAATTTGATTTGGCTCGCGGCCAACTCGGTTCGCGACCAGAATCATGGAATGATTTAAGTTTGTGAACCAAGGTACCACTGTAAATGCTCAGATACTGCGACACTACAAAAAGGTGACAGACAAAACATGTATATCCAAGAAGCTGGATCCAACTTATCAGTACTTCATAGTTGAAGAAAGCCAATTGGGTTTGCATGGAGCACAGTAGTTGCGGTGAGGCTGCTTTTAATGAAAACAGGGTGCCCCTTCTAGGGGATCTGAAGTTAATGATCCATGAGAAAAAAGGCCTAAGCACCAGACCAAAGATCTAAAATCTTTTACTATTAGTGTTTGTTATAACAAGACAACATGGAAAAGCCGACACGTGGGTTCAGACACTCCTCCTTCATTAGGGCTTATAAATACCACAACTGGACTCAAGAGGGTGCTTTAAGTACATGTACTCTATGCGTATAATAAAGAGCAGTATTGCCAGTATTAGCAGGTCGCATACAAGAGAGGTATTTAAGATTGTACAGATATTCCAGTGATACAACAACCACATCCGTGAATGCTGTCATTGCACATTGGTTCTAATGTCCACTTTGTATATGGCCACTAACACAAGCAGTATTGATAAGCCAGGTCTTATGGTGTAAGAGCACGTTAATGAAGCCATGATCACATGGCTTGTCTGTATCCTTTAATACTGGAGAAAACTAGCCTTTAACCAGATTCTTATTGCTTCATGCATGGTGGTCCCACACACAATCTAAACTGAAGTAAAAGACATCACCAACAGTAAAAATGCATATAGTCCTAAATGTTTTCCATACTACATGTCACTTTGATTTTGCCATAGTGCAGTACACAGAGTTCATGCTGCTTAACATCTACTTATTATTCCTGTTCATAGTCTAATATACAAATTTGCCACTCATACATTCTTCCACATAACCTAGTTAGGAAACATAATGGCACATAAATGACATAAGCAATGAAGGCAAAGGGTAAGGGATCTCCCTGTTTGCCCCACAGTGGTTGAGAGACTGTAGTGTAACTATGCTTTTGTAGAGCAAAAGGTAGAAATATGGCCTTATCTAGATGCCCGAGGGCAAACAGTGGTAGAGCGACCCTAAAAGCCCGCTCAGTTTTCTTATAAACGTCAACATTCCAACAGACCAATGACACAGATTGGCACAAAGCCTTGGCTGGTAAAGTAGAAGCCATGCAAGACTGCCATGTGGTGGCATCTTCTTAGTGCAACCATTCACTTTCCTTGGTTTATGATCTTCTCAAAGGTTCCAACATACCTTTTAGCTGCCGCATGGTTTGCAAAATATTGGTACCATTGGCATAAACCCTAATGGTAGCATGGCAGCTATCTCTGCCATCTCAATCACATCTGCTAACTAAGCTCTGGCATATCTCTTCCTACAGTAGCCTGGCAGATTTCTATTCCTAAAGCTGCATTCCCTCCATATATATTCTACCTAATGTTCTCTGTGCGTTCTGCTAGAGAGCAGAAATAAGCAGTTCTTCCTGTTTAGCATGTTTAGGCCCTGTGGGACTGGCAGTCCGTATGGGATCGGGCGTCAAGCACTCCTGGCTGCTCATCCCTGTGGGTGTCAAGTCCATGAGCTCACCCGAAGAGCTGAGAGGAAAAGAGGCAGACACAGATATGCCCGAGGATGGATCAGCTGAGCCAGCAAAGAGGCGAGGAGGCTTCGGCACCAGATTTGGCTCAAACTGTGCTCTTAGAAGTATTTCTTGATCGCTAACTGACTTGGCCATTTCACGGTCTGTTCCTTCTGCCACCATCATATTGTAGAGGTCTTGCAGAGACCCACTTTTACTGTCCAGATTAAATAGACTGTCTATAAATTCTGCAAACTCTAATACTTGTGGACTGGGTACCTCTGTGAGACGGCCATTTTGTAAAGACAGCTCCTCCTGGGCGGGGGTTTGCACCCTGGTTGTCTCTGCTCCTGCTACTATTTCTTCCTCCCAGGGTGGCAGGTCTCCTGGAGATGACCGACCACTGTTATGAACAATTTCAGTATGTTGGCTCTCCTGCGAATGTTTAGAAAGGGCGTCTGCTGCCAAAAGCTCTGTGCGGGAGCTTAGGGATGGGTTCTCCTCTGGAATGGTAGGATCAATGAAAAAGCAGTGAGACTCATCACGTTCCAGGACGGCTCTTAAACTAGGGGAGCCACGAATGCTTCGGAACCCTGAGGAACGTCTTGAATCAAAACTGTATACGGACTCATTGTCTGACAGGCTCTCCATTGTAGCCAGTGGTGCTCTCCGGTCCTGCAGAGAAACTGCCAGGCAGTCCTTAGTGCTCATCAACAATAACTCAACAGGATCCTTCAATATTGGGGACAGAAGTCGAGAGTCATAAAATCCTTCGAGACTAATCTCAGATTGTTTACTCCTACAGAAGTGGAAAAATAAAATTAATCTCCTTTTAATACAAATGCAAAAGTAAAGGAACAAAAAGAATATCCACAAAAGGCTTTATACATTACATTGTACATAGCATTGGCTGCAAGAGAGACAAAAGAGGCCTCATGCTAACTTTTTAACAAACCTTCCAGGCCAGGGTTCCATTGAAATTTGAAAATTCTAAATTATTATTTTATTATAATACCCAGTAACCTAAAAAAGGAATGAACACATGTAACGTATATGCATATAAGTGCACTACAGAGCTAAATACACTTGCATTTCTGAATGTCAGATTTTTCAGCAGCTTGAAAAGGTTGGCGCCTATACATTGAAGCTCGGAGGATAAAATTAACTGCTTAACAAATATCTAAAGCTATTTTTTCTTCATCTGGTCAGGTTTATTTTTACCACCTCTGTCCCAATCAAGACATGTTTATTATGTACTGTCCTGTAGACAAAACATGACATCAAAAAATCTCCCAAAAATAATAAAAAGTGTCCACAATAGATGTTTTTCTTTAATTCCTATTCTGGTGACAACTCTAAATATTTGATTTTCACTCGCTTTCAGCCCTTGTGACAATGGACATCAGGACAAACAGAGTGAATTTTCCCAATGGGGACACAGATCAATAAAAACTTGACAAGAATTCCAATCATTTCCCACTGTCCAGAATAAAAAAAAAAAAAAAAAAAAACCTTTTGGCTTCAGATACTCATTAAGTTTATTCTCAGTGGTAAAATTCTCCCACAGGATGTCTTCATTTCTAAGGGTATTACATTCACTTTACATAAAAGAATAAACTACAAAAATAATGCACAACTGCCCTGCAACTAATAAGCAGTAGTGATGCATCTGTGCTTGGTGTGAACCCAGTACCCTTGAGATTACCCAAGCCCACTCAATATTGTGACAGCCATCTAGTCCTCCTGTCCCAATCAGTTGCAGAGAGGTGCATTCCCCGCTCCGCAGCTGTACGTCACAAAGGAACGAGAAATGCCCTCGTCACAACTCCTACCACTGAATGGGCGGGGGGGGGGAAATCACAGTTGTGAGCGTGCTTGGGTGAACTTGGGTTCACACCAAGCGCAGCCTCATCTCTGATAAGCAGTGTGCAAGTTGGGGAAGAGCTGCTTCAATTAAGGCCTGATAACACATCATGTTTTGCAACACAGTCTAACTTTCCCATGGACCAGTTTAAGTGAAAGAAAAGATGGAAAAAAATGGCATTCATAAATGCAAAGTGTAACTTCATCTAATGAAATAGCTTTATTTTCCGGATGTGAACCAGCAAAATTGACCTCAGAATATTAGGTGGGGTGACAATGGAGTGCTATTCAATACCATTACTACTACCACTATTCAATACTATTTTTCATCTCAGATCTTCTACATCCTGCAGGGTCTGCTGTATCAACGTCCCATGTGATAATGGCCATATTTCATAATATGACTCATCAATATAGTGTCATAATGCCTCGCCAGCTGTTATTGTGAAAGGCAAGCGTGGCAATTCTGCTGACAAGAGTCAGGAATGCCAGTTTATTCATTGGTCCCTATTAATTAAGTGATATTACAGTTAAAAGGATCTTAAGCTACTTCAAATGTTGATGAAATAACATACAATGGATGCTGCTTCTTCATCTTTAAACGTTTTCGTTTCCTGCAGAATCAGCTGGTCCCCTGAGCACTGGTCCTGACTTCCTGTTTTAGAGTGACTCCTTTCTCAAGCAGAGTGCTATGCAGTCACACTTGTGTGTGCTAGTAAGCTGCGTGTGTTTCAACAAACACACAGACAAAGCAAATCAAGCTACAGTGGTGTAGTGGTTAGCGCTTCTGCCTTGCAGCACTGCGGGTCTCTGGCTCGAATTCCGACCAGGTCACTATCTGCAAGGAGTTTGCATGTTCTCCCCGTGCCTGCGTGGGTTTCCTCCGGGTACTCCGGTTTCCTCCCACACTCCAAAGACATGCTGGTAGGTTGATTGGCTCCTCTCTAAGTTGGCCCTCTATGTATGCATGTGAGATAGGGACCTTAGATTGTAAGCTCCTTGAGGGTAGGGACTGATGTGAATGCGCAACTATGTAAAGTGCTGCATACAATTGTCGGCGCTATATAAATACCTGTAATAAATAAATACCTCCCCCCCGGGCCCCCTGTCCTCCCTCCATCTTTCACCAAGCTGGTGGATGAACAGTTGTGATCCCCCTTGTGATCTTGCACTGGACAGGAAGTTGTTCAGGGAAGCTGAGCTGGGAGACTTGGAAGCAGCTGTTCAGAAACATGATTACTGTAAGTGATTGGGGAACTGTAAAGAAATACTTTGCTGTGCAATGTATAATTGTTTGATCTGGACTCTTTATTGAAAAAAGTTTGAGAGTTTTATTACTACTTTAAGAACCATAAGAATGTATGTATTCTATTAGGGCTAATGGGTACTCTGTAGAAGCAATTTTTGTCTACTCTGCAAAAAGAATTATTACACAGACAACTCTTTTTTTCTCAGTCAGTCTCAAGTACAATATTTCAGACAATATTAAAAAGGAGATAACTAAAGGGAGTGTGGATATGACAACTGCCCCACTGTCCCGGAGATCAGGGGGCCCGGGCATAACTCTTCCTTCCCCTGATTTACCAGCTTTGTGCTCACATTACATTCTATATAGATTAAAACTGAATGTTCCCTTTTTGGAAAGTGTACGTTTCATGAAGATTAGCAGACAAAACCTGAACGGGACAAAAGAAAAGATATGTTGGATCTATTAAGATTGTGCATGAGAGTCCTGGGGCTTTCAGTTATGCCCCTTATTAGAAGTGTTAAGAACCATCCTATACAAATGGAATGATTATTCATAGAAGTCTTAGATGTGTAGTAGGGTGCCTCAGTATCCTCCAAAATAGAGGAGATGAACTATAAACTTCTGTCGAGATGGCACCTCAATGAAATGCATTTGGATATATGGGGATATAAGATGTTTCATGGACCTATGCTTTTTATAATGATGTTGAATTTGGATTAGTGCAATCATTTTGAACACATGCTTTTATATGATGTATTATATGTGAAATAAATTATATTTTTATACTCAAAATTCCAAGCTGTGGTGTTATACCTCTCAGTAAACCCCTGTTCTTTTTCTTTGTTACAATTGTGTAGTAGGTAGCACCTAGTACAATTGTTCGTTTTGCTTAGAAAGTATTTAAAAAGTTTAATTGGTTAACAGCATCTAATACAACCAATGCATTTTGGGGAAAAAACACCCCCCCCCCCCCCC